TGTCTTCATCAGGGTCGTCAAGATCTGAGTTGATTGCGTCTTCGTCAACTTCGTCATCATCATAACCATCGTAACCGGCAATTCCACCATGTTCCTTGCCCTTGGATCGCGCCGTGGCAGCCGACGAATGCCTCGTGGCTTCCTTAAGAGGCAGCATCAAGCCGCCGCCCTCCATGCTCTTGGCATTGGCAGCAATCCGCGCGTGGATCATGCGATCAATATCAACACGTCCAATCTCGCGTTGAGACCCATCAGGGTTGCGTTGGAGCAGAACACCTTCAAAGTCGAAGTCGTCACCAGCACCGTCGGTCTGCGAGGGATTCACACCTGGCTGACCATTGCTAGGTGGACGCTGCTGAGGCTGACCCTGTTGAGGAACTCCTGGGCGATACTGCTGTTGCTGCTGCTGCTGAGGCTGGCCGGGCATCTGGGGCAGAGGCGGTTGGTTGGCAGGCCTGTTGGTCGCCGAGGCTTGTATGGCGTTCATGGAGGCGGCGCCTTTCTCGCCAAACTGACCGCGCACATGTTGAGCGGCTCGGTAAGCTGCAAGTCCAGCGCTATCTTGTTGAGATGGCGGCATCGGCACATTCTGCATGCCAGGCTCCGGCTTGATGTAAGGCTCCTCCTTTACAGGCATGTTACTGGCCTGTTGAGCCGGGTTTCCGCCAGGCAGAGGTAGACCAGGTACTGGGAGTTGCGGACTGAGCTGGGCCTGAGAGTATGGAGCCGCAGGCGGGGGTGCGGCCGTAGTCGGAGGTGGTGCAGGAGGAGCTGGAGCTTCCTTAACGGGGTCCCATGGAAACGCCGCGACCTCGAGTTGAGTGAGTTTTTCCTGCCATCCCTTCTTCAACTCTTCGAGCACGCTCTCATCAACACCACCCTCCTCGAAATCGACCCGAGAAGAATTTATCACCTCATCGATGATCTGTGAGTAGACGTTACCCACCGCGTTGTTAGACATGGTGGCGTTTGTTGGTCGTCGTTGTTGTCGTCAACTATGTGTTTGTCGAAGAAAGTAGTGTCAAGCTTCGGTACCGGCGAGACGGATGTGCGAATCTTGTGGTCGCGCCTTCTCCAACCTGGTCCCTCCTTCCTGACTGTTAGACTTAGTTGAGAAACGAAGTCGCAGAAATGGTCGAGAGTATCCAATCGAAGTCCGCCTTCACAAGGTAGCTCTTGGGTTGTCGATGGGGAACCGCCTGCTTAGTCCGCCACTTCTCGCTGCCCAAAATGGCATGCGCCTGTGTAAAATCGGTAACGGCAAATATGCAATCGATTGCTGAAGAGGTCTCGCTGGTTGCTATCGGGGAATTTAGATGTAGGCAGGGTGTCTGGCTGGGCCCTGTTTTTCGCTTGGTAATGTGTACGGGTCAAGATTGCCTTTGTTCGGTGGGTTTCGTTTTGAGGCTCGAAGCAGGCGCTCGCCTATTAGTAAGCTTAGGCGGCAGCCGCACGGAGGGAAGGCTGAACTCAGGCACCTGCCAACTGCAAACTGCCCGCAAACTGCCCGCGCGATGATCGCTGAAGGATCCACACTTCCCGCAGGAACTGATAAGGCCTTAATTAACCCGATAAGCCACCTGAGAAGTGGATTGAAGTCGGAATGCGGGGTGTAAGCCGCACCTCAGGTCTTCGACAAGCAACTCTGGTCAAAGAAACTTAACTTGCTGCACACCTCAGGAACAATGGAATATTGAGCAAATATGGTCGTCAACAGACGGAATCAAAGTATTGACACGAGAAGAAGTTAAAAACCAGGTTTTCTTCATTGCAAGAGCGGTCCTTGTCACTTAACCACGGCCGTCTTCTTTAATACTACAGCACGTCCCTGACGATGCATTCCTTCGCAAAAACAAGCATTACAAATCTGTCCCATGCTAAACAGCAATGAATGATATCTTCTGTCGTTACTCATGACCAAGCAATTTCGTTTCCCGTGGAGAAGCCCTTTCGTGCCACGTAGAGTCGGATGCAATAAAACCAAACTCCTCGCTGAAGATGACCCCAACCGCCAGGAATCCATGACCGACAAATGCCAGAGGAGATATACCTACATTTATTGACGTCGTTTGACCGACATTCGCCAGGCTTGGTCGATGGTGGACCGTTTACCGGATGGTCATCTGCTTGACCATGTCTGCCTTGGCCGAAGATGTGCTGCTGCCAACACCGGCACTGGCACCGGCCTTCTTCTCGAAGACCTTCCAGAACTTCAGACTCTCATCGGCAGCTAAGCGATAGTAGTTAGCAGTTGTCATTGTTAAGTTTCATAATTCCAGGACTCACCTGCGGTAGCAAGCATCTGACCGTCAGGGCTGAGGCAGCTGTGCAAGACTCTGCTCTCGTGTGCAGGGATCTCGACGTTGCGAACCAACGTGGGGTAGCTCCAGATGCTCAGGGAGTTGTCGGGGAAGCCGCTAGAGCTGACGATCTCACGGTAGTGAGGACTCCATCGCAGGCTGGTGACCTGGGAGCCAGTGTCGATGCTGTTGACGCGAGCACCAGAAGTGGAGTTCCAGAAGTGGATGTGGCGATCATAAGAGCCACCACCCGTAGCCAGAAGGTTCATGTTCCAGGGGCACCACGCAAGGGCCTTGACAGCAGCCTTGTGATTGGTCTTTGTAAACTTGGGCACAGAGAGCGAGCGGGCGTCCCAGATAGAGACGAGGTTGTCGTTGCCTCCAGTGGCCAGTTGTGCGCCATCCGAGCGCCACTCCAGACCGCAGACTTCTGAAGTATGAGAGACCAGCTCTGCAACCTTGTGCTCCGCAATGCGGACATCGTGGTTGAAGACCAGTCCGCTGCGAGCTCCAGTGGACAGAAGGTGCTTGTTCCAGCCCATAACACCGACCCGGGTATCGTGACCGAACATGCTACGGACCTTCTGGGCCTCGGCTACGTCCCAGATCTGAACCTCACCGGTGCCAAGACCAACGCCGACGTACGCACCGTCGCCAGACCACTTAACACTGCTGACGTACGTGTCGGGGCTTGTCTCGAGGAGACAGCTGACGCTTCCCTCGTCAGCGGACCAGACGTAGACGTTGCGTTCAAGGCCGATGGCAACCTGGTTACCGGAGCTCCAGTCGAGAAGGTTGAGGTAATAGTCGTCAATCAGACCAGGAGCATCGAGAACACGCTCAGGGGCAGTGGCAACGCGACGGCGGAATTGGGCTGATGTGGCGCTCGCAGGCTTGAGAGGGCGGTTGTACTGCTGGCGGAGGTCGATAGGCTTGGAAGATTCGGGGGGCGCAGGCTTGAATTGCAGGATGCGAGTGTTGAGGCTGACTCCGCAAGCGCTTGCGAGAGAATCTTGGTACGCAACGGTGTTGGGAGAAGGACGAGAGTACGTGGATGGCTCCTCGTCCTCAATGTTGAGACCCTCGAGGGCAGCAATGGCATCCTCTGTTGCGGATGAAAGCACGTTGGATGCTTCGCTCACGCTGGCCTTTGAGCGCTTGTCGGGTCGGTCGAGCTTGCTGCTGCCGGCATTGGAAATAGCAGAGCTTGCGCTACGGTTGGGGATGAAGCGGTCACCACCATAGTTGACAGTCGTCTTGCTGGTCTTTTGCCTGTGAGAGGTCTTCTTGGACTTGGCGCTGGAAGGTGTCTTGGAAGTTCCCGAGCTGGTCAAAGTGAAATCGGACAGGCCAAGCTCGAGAGCTCTGCGAGGAGTTGAAACGCCCCTGGCAATGTTGGACTTGGGAGAGTCGCGGTGAGACGACTTGGTGGTGGTGGATCTAGCCAAGTGGGCAGTGAGGTTGCCACCATAGGTTGACTTGCCTGATGCGCGGTAGGCGTCGCTGCCAGACTGCTTCTCAGGGGTGAAGGGGGAAGAGTTCAGGTTCACCGAGACGGAGGTGGAATGCTGACGGGGCGAAGGTGTGAGAGGCATGCGACCGCCGGCGGTGCGGGAAGAAAAGAGACCCTTGTGGGACTTGATGGGAGTGGATACTGATGCAGTGGCCATTTTGAGTAGTGTATGTGGGGTATCGTGATGAAACGAATTGTAAATTTCCAACGGGTGCAACCTGGCGCACCGAGGGAAGAGGTGATGAGAGCTCCAAGAGACTCTATCAAAAGATTCCTGGATGTTTGGTGTGTTCTGTTAGTATTCTGTCGTTGTGCTCGATATTCGAAGTAGTGCCGCCACAAGAAAGGCTCGAAGTCGGGTGGGCGACCAAATGGCTGTGGACAGCGATGAGATCTAGAGGACTTGATTTTTCTTGTGAAAAGGCTTTGGTTGAGAGGCTTGACCCAGCTCGAAAGCGCAGGAGAGCAGATACAAGGTAGTAGAGGATAGCGGGAGTGAAGAGGTTTGGTATAGAGAGAAGAAAGCTTGAAGCTGGACAGGAGCTCTCATCATCTTTTATTTACTTTGTGCCCCACCATCATCGCGGCCGGGCAACGACGCTTGGACCAGCGTTGCGGCGTTGCCAGATTGACATGGGTGGGGCTTTCTGACGTTGCACCGTCGAACTTCTCTGCCATGGAAACTGCCTACCTTACTTAGGTAACCGGTCACTGTTCATTGCTCGCTTGCTGACGTAAGGTAGAGGAGCGATTAGAGTCACGTGGTTTCCGTTGCGAGTCGGGCGCAACCGCCGAAAATCGGGCAAGCCAATGAACGAAGCGCAGCCTCCCGGTCCCCTGCACACAGCCCGTCTGCAGTTGCCACGACAGAGACGCAGGCTGGAGACAGGAGGGTGGCCCGTGATTCCCTAATTAAGAGGCCTGGGTTGTCAACCTATGCAGGAACATTGCGAATCTCCACCTCCAGTCTTCGGTGTGCGACGACATCCCATCCCATCCCATCTCACTGTCGCTTGCCGTCCCTCTGTTTGAACTTGCACTCGATAGAAAAGTATCGCCCGCTCCTGCCGCAACTCCTTCGTCCCCACGCTGTTCAGCCAACTACACGCCGTAGCCAGCACCATTTTCGCGACCTTGCATACGATTGAGATGATTTGTTAGCATTCACCCTACCTTCGCTGCCCATCATGGCCCAGCCTCAGCCATCACCAGCAACTCCTGGGGCCTTGGCCCAATCCCTCTTCGGTGGGCCGGCAGCTCAGGCCCTATCGACACCCAACCAGCCCTCGAACACATCCACGCAACCTTCACCTTCTCCGATGGACCAAATTCCGGGTTCAGCAGCGTCAAGCAACAACACCTACATCATGCCCAACTCTCCTATCAAGAGTAGAGGTACCCTCGATGGCTATCGTCCAAGGGTAACAAGGACCTTGGGCCAGCGACCAGCTTGCCTTGTCAACGCCTCGGTCACATATTGTGGCAACAACCATATCTACGCTTTCGGAGGCTTCGATCAGTACACCGACGAAGTCTACAACCATGTCCTCAAGCTGGATTTGGTCAGTCACCAGTGGAGTTTGGTTGACAACTACGGCGATATTCCCGGCGTAAGAATGGGTAAGTCGTCTTGATCACGGAGCGCGGCTTCATTCACCGCCATGATCTAACAAAATCAAGGTCATACTGCCACTCTATACCAAGGTGACAAACTTCTGGTCTTTGGCGGCGAAAACGAGCACCGGACCTATCTCTCCGACTTGATCATTTTTGATCTGAAAACCGCGCACTGGACACAACCTTCAGTAACTGGTCCTGTGCCTAAGGGTCGAGCAAGACACGCAGCGGTGCTGCACGAAGATAAACTTTTCATCGTTGGAGGCATAACTGGTCACGACAACTACGTGCTTGACGATATCTGCTATCTCGATCTCAAGACCTTCACTTGGTCCCGCTCCTGGCGTTTCGTAGGTCGATTCGATCACTCTGCCTACATTTATGGAGACAGAGTATGGGTTTTTGGCGGATTGTCTGAGGACATGGACAAGATTGGCGACCTCTGGTGGCTCGATCTCAAGGGTAGTCCGGCTTTTGATTCTGCACCTCACGTCGGGATTTACGATCGTCAAACTGGCACCAGCCGTGCTGTTGGATCGCCAAGACAACCTTATTCTATGGCACATCCACCACCTGCAGTAGGCTCTTCAGGGTATGCCGCCAACTCGCGGACTCAACAAGTCAACCCACCTTCTTTTCAGCTCAAGACCTTTTCACCCATGGCCCCAGGAACAATCTCTTCTCTGAAGTTCATTTCCGGACCCAACATACCCTCGCAGGGGTCTGGCATACACTTCCACGTGTACTCATCGGGCACGCTACTTGACTTTGTTACACCGGCCGCAACTATCACTTCCAAGGAGTGTTCCTTATCAGCACTGGACTTGGGAACCTTGCGATGGCAAAAGCTAGCTGAAGGTCGCGAAATTTTCAAATCGGGCTACCGATGGCACTACTGTACCATGAACGAAGACGGAACTAAGGCATGGCTGCTCGGATGTCCTACTGACCCTGTCGCTTCGGACTTGGGCCCCAACGGGTTCGAGGAATACCTGAGGTGAGTAATCCCAACTAACCATTAAACAAGGACATTTCTGACTCGTCACTCGTAGCGACATAATGGAGATCGATCTTCGTAGATACGGCTTCTTAGGAAACAACTTTTCGCCTGAGCCACGTATAGAATCAAGGCCGACAACGCGAGTAGTCGACCAACCCTCAAAAGGGCTCGGGGCTGACTTGGCAAAACTCTTTGATCATCCTCCAGAGAGCGGCAGCGGCACTGACTTCATCGTCACGGCCTTGGAAGGCGACTACGAAGACGACGACATGATGTCTCGTGTCACAGACGCGTCTGCAGGCCAAAATTGGCTCGCACCTGACGCCCCTACATCCCAACCAATCCACGTCCACAAGCTCATTCTTCAGGCTCGTTGGCCACACTTCGCCCGGTTATACAACTCCCAGATGGCGGAATTCCACACAAAGAAGATGCATATCCCTGAGCCATACTCCGTGGTCAAGGCTTTTCTTTATTACCTGTACACGGACAGCATACATGGAACGTCTGTCAACGAGAGTGGTGCCACTACTGATTTGTCTGACGTAGCTGGGCTTCTCGTCATGTCCAACATTTACGGCATTCCGCATCTGAGGCTTTTGTGCGTGAACCGACTCTCCAAAGAACTCGACGTTGACCATGCCTGCGTCATATGGCACTGTGCTGGACTTGCGAACGAAGAGTGGCTCCGCAAGCGGGCTGCACAGTTCTGTCTCACACACTGGGGTCGTATCGTACGGACCCAAGGGTTCCTTCGTCTGCCAAGGTCGGCGCTTGTTGAACTCTCTCAGGAAATCGACATGGAGGGCCGCGTCGTCGGCGGCGATGAACTGGAATATGTCGGCGGGTTGGCAGGTTCCCGGTTTGGAGATGGATGTTCTGTCGTCAGTCGAAAGGAGAGCGTGAGCAGCAACCACACGCAACTACTTGACAGTGAAGCCGACGACGAAGACGGCATGGAGATGAGCTGAATGTGTTCTTGTCATTCATCCAGGCGCGGCTTGATACACCACCTCGATTTGCTGAGGCGAATCATGTTTAGGAAGGGACTAGCAAGATGTCCTCAATAACGTGAACATGGTTATGGTGCAAACTGGCTGGCTTGCACAATCTCACCTCACCTTTTATGGTTTTCGCAAGTAACGAAGAAATGTCTTATGTGGTGGCCAATGGTTTTCGGCATGGTACGGTGTTGGTCATAGAGCGACTTGGCTCTGGTTTTTTTCGTTTCTTTACTCAAATCGTGCTGGAGTTGCTGTCTGGTAGACATTGATATCCCACAAACACAATCACACAAAGCTTCTTGTTACTTTTCTGCTCGCGAGATTTTTAGGCAAATTGTTCGGTCAATACATTCGTTCAGTCTATATTTTGGGAGATTGTCCAAGAAGCAGGCAAGAAAAATGAATAAAAATAAAAATCATGAGTAAACTTTTCCCAACCGTGCCCTACTACAACGCCTACACTCTGTAAATCAAGCGTAAATCCCTCGCATGTGGCGAGAGAAGATTCTTTTGAAAAGAGACTCGAGAAAGCGAAAAAATAAAAAGGTGACAAGAGACTATTCAATAGCCCTAAAGTCAATCCAGCCCTCACTCGTCTGCTTTTCTTCTTCCAACTCATTGCCTCCAAGCTCATACAAAGACTTTTCCAGACCATCATTGCCGCATTCCCTCTCCATCCCCCCCTAAGCATCCTAATTTCCTCTCCGGAAGTCCCGCGATCCGTGGAAAGGATTGGACCCATCCCGTGACGTGAAACCAGCTTCACCACGCTCCTGCTCCCAAAGCAGTGAAAACGAATGGTAAAGCAAACCTGAACAGGCGGCCGAGTACCAACAAAGAAAACTAAACAAGCGGAGAAACCAAAAGAAACCAAACATAGCCGGCCTGCTCTGATGGCCTCAAAGCCGTCTAACCTCGACCGAAGCTGCCGAGGCTTGTATTAATCTAGAAAGGAGTTGTATCGTGGTCGAAGAATCGCAAGCGTTACTTGTAAGTCTATGAGGGTATAAAATGGGGACCAGACTCGATCGACCTGACAATCGACCTGAAAACCGCCCGCAAAAGCATTCAAACGCCGCTCCGTATGCCGCAAACCAACCGCATAGCCGAGATATTTAGTCGTGATTCCGAGGCCGAGGTCAGGGTGCTGTACGGTTCCCAGTGACCTCAGCGATGCCTCGAAGTCATTTGAATGGGGTGTGGTGAAATCGTCGGACGGATTGACCCCTTACATCATCTGGTCTTCGCCGATTCCAGGCAGGTTGGTCATCGAATTCTCCATAAGACCCGGCAGGCTAGCGAGATTGTTGAGCCCTGCGGCTAAGAACTTGAAATCGGGATTGCAAGGTGCGGAGTGTCCCTTGTGCTGTTCATTTTGTCAGTCACCGCATTCCGTTTACTGCTAACATCAAGTATAGACTCACGTATTTGAGACCGTTGAGGTTCTTGTAGCGCTTTCCGCAGACGTCGCAGGAGAAAGGCTTCTCCTTTTCCATACCCAAAGTACCGGGGTAAGGAGTGCTAGTTTCAGGATTGACGATAGAGAAAGTGCCATCACCGTTCTCGTGTAGCTGTTGCGTCTGGTGCCCGTGTGTCTTGTGGTACCTAATTTGGACCCTGATTAGCCACCTGTCATACACACACCAGCCGGGATGTGGACACTTACTTGAGACCGTTCTGGTTCTTGTACGCCTTTTCGCAGCCGATGACGGGGCATTTGAAAGGCTTGTGTTCCTCCGGAATCATCATTGCGCCAAACTTTTGGATCAAAGCCTTGTTCGCCGCACTGTTGGGCTGGCTAGGATCGAAACCCATTCCAATGAGATGTGCCTGAATGGCCCGTTGCTGGTTGGTGAGAGCACCTCCAGGGCTGAACAGGTGTTTGCCAGGATCATTGATGCAGAACTCGGAAGCAGAGTTTCCAAAGCTCACGTCCCCAAAGTTGGATCCGTTAAGATCCATGTTGCCACCCATAGGCATGCCTGGTAAGTCGTCGTCCATATCGTCCATATCGTCCATGGGCTGCATCGGGGAGTTCTGGAAACCATTGTTGGGGCGCTGTTGCTGTGGCGTTTGCTGGGTAGTAAGCGTCGGGGTGTTCACAGATGATACTGTGGGGTTGTGCTGCAGCCCAAAGCTGGCAGCTGCAGGCGTTGGTGGCTGGGATGTCCGCAGTCCTTGAGTGAGACCCGAGGCGTTGACGTGCAACTGAGGTCGCTGTTGCTGGCCGAACATTTGCCGAGTCTGTGACATGGTTCTCTGGCTATCGTCCATCTCCATGGTTCCCAAAGCATCATCCATCTCCATGTCACCGACAGCATCCATCTCGTCGAACTGCGACATTTGTGCATGCTGCTGTCCTGCCATGTTTTGCTGACCAAGCTGCATCCCCAAACCTCCCATGCCTCCGCCAAGGTTGGAACCTGGACGGCTTGGTTGACCAAGCTGTGACATTGAAGTGGTGTTTTGTTGCTGAGTCTGTGGTCTTGCGCTGCTGGCCCTGGATGAGGGCTGTGTGGGTATCGCGGCGAATTGGGAAGAAAAGGGCGCATTGCGCGCAGTGTTTGGACTGGGTTGGGTGTGCGACTCTTCATAATGCTGTAACAAATCGTGAAGGTTCGGCAAGTTCAAACCGCAACAAGTGAAGTCCTTCATGAAACTCGCCTCAAGCTTGGGCAAATAGGAACCGGAGTGGAAGGATGGCGAGGCTTGGTGTGCGAACGGTGACGTGCCTGCCATGGCGATGCTAGTAGAACCGGTTAGCGGTAATTCTCGCACGAGCATTGCTGCGACTGATGACATGCCAATGGTCGCCACCGAAGCATGGATGTAACGCAAATAACTGTAGGAGGCTAGGAAGGAAGGCGGGAACATACTCATCGCGAATAAAGCTGCCGAATGACATTCCTCCCCAGCTCGCGCCAGCACCCATGAGGCTGCCAGCGAGACTCTCTCGTCTCTGGCGGTTGACATGGTCGCGGTTGGGGTTGGCCATAGAAATTGGCTTAGGACCAGCGCTGACAAAGGAGTCCTGGCGACTCCGACCCATGGCCGAATCCATGGCTGGGCCAGTGGTCATATCGATACTCTTGGTTGGGATGGGAGCAAAGTCGAGGAGCTCGTCGGGGAGAGCAAAGGGGTTTCTGTCGAAGCTGGACTTTGCGGGGCCTGAGGGGGAGGTGGATGAAGGGTCCCTCGTGCTTGTGGGTGTAGCAATGGTAATTGGCTTGGTGGACCAGAGGCCTGCGCGGGAATCACGAACGTCAAAGGGGTCGGTGGGTGTGAGGGGCTGCGATGAGGGAGAGTTTGGAGTGCGGGATGACGAGTTGGAAGAGCCTGGTGAAGGAGAGGCGAAGATGTTGTCGGAGGCAGAAGGTGGTGGTGTTGTAGTGGTGAAAGAGGAAGCCGACGCACGATAACTAATATTATCGGCGCTGGCGCAGTCACTTCTGCTGGGCGTGCGCCTGGGTTCGCTGTTGTGGGCGGCGGCGGCGGTGGACCGGGTCGACGGGTCCCTTGGGTCCTCGGTACTTGTTGGGTTGAACCAGCGAAGGGCGCTCCTCATGTCAGCTGGAAGTAGACGTTGTATTGGGGTTAGGCAGGGGATCCGTGGCTCCCAGAACGTTTCTCGACCCTTTTTGTGGGTACTTATTTAATCGGGCCACTGAATGCAGCCGGCGGATGCGCCCCGAAAAAGGAGATCGAGTCCGCGTCTCGACTAGCAGCGCTGCCGCTGTAATGTGTCAAGAGAAAAAAGAGGGGGGAGGGGTGTGAGGGAATGCGTGCGTATATGTGCTGCCTTTGTGTGCTGCACTTCTTTTCCCCCTGTTTCTCTTGATTTTGTCTCTGGTTTGGATTCTCTGCCAATTCTGGGGAATCGACAGAGGAATATGAGGGGATGGGGCGGACTCGGTGCAAAAGGTAGGTATTGGGTGTCTCGAATACGATTTGCTGGGGGTACTGCGGCGGTGGCAGGTCGAAGCTTAAAAAGTGATGGTCCAAGTACCTTTTCCCGGAAAGTACCTTGGGCAACGAAAGGTTGGGAGGTACCTGACGGAACAGTTCGTGGTGGCCGTAGTTTTGGTGTACCGCCTAGGGAGGCGAATAAAGGTGGGCTGGGGACCGACCGAGGATGGTGGATTGGTAGGTATTCCGGCGACGGCGACAGCGCGTGGTATTGGTAATGACCTCTAGAAGGTGCGTTCAAAGGTCGGAGGCGAAAATCGAGTGCGCAAGTCTTCCGCGTCTTAGTGGTTTCTACTGTCCAAAGATCGGAAACGAGCTAGTTCCGGAAGGCTGTGGAAGTAGTGGTGACGGCTGGATGATGTTATCTCCGAAAAGTTGTGACCGATCTATGTCCGCAGAGGCGTAATAGCGACGCTGGGTGAGGCTCTGGGCTGAAGATGAAGATGAGTGTTGATCATCGAAGAAGATAGTCAACTGTCGAGACGAATCAACGGGTATTGTACTTTGTGAACGGTTGCTTGGGTGTTGTCGATGCTGTTTATTATGATTATAAGAAATCGTCTTATAGTCTCGACAAGGGGTTGTTAGAGTGGGTATTGGTATCGATTGTTGTGTGTTGTTCTTCCGTCGGCAATGCAAGACTGTAAATGGACGGGGCCTTGAGAGCTCGAGGTGAAGAGGAGGTAAAAGGCAGTATAAATGGATGACTGATAGATTGGGGGAAGCAGATCTGGGACGAAGTCAAGAGTAGAAGCACAACAGATGTCGGGGACGAAAGCCAGGAAGGGCACGGGGTTATGAATAAGAAGACAAGCGGTATGATGGAAGAGATGGGCATGCGTTGACTCGACACAAGCACAAATCCGGGTTGTCCTGGCGCAAGAGTCAAGGTACTTGACCTGGTCAGTCCAGGCTCTAGGTTGATCGGTCCAAGGGCACCTTGGGAAGTAGGTTGGGACTTGGGGAGAAGGCGGAGGAGAAGGAGGAGGGTATCTGTAGGATAAGGTAAGGCAGAGCACGGAACTTGGAAGGCGCTTGGAAAGCGGTCCCCTCGACGAAAGCTCGGCCGATATTTGGGGGTGGGAAATGTGGGAAAGTTTTGGGGGTGTCAATGACGACGACGGGGGTTCCAGTCCATGTTAGTAGCACCTTACTGTCCGTCTGTCTGTCTTTCTGTCCCATGAAGGGGCTGTCATCTACATACATAGTGCCAACTGCTCGAACGTAAAGTACGGTCTCTGCGCAGTAGGTGAAGCAAGCTGGAGGTATGCAGGAGATGGCGAGAAAGGCAAAGCAAGAAAGCGAGAGGGGACCCAATCGTCTTGTCTCGGACTGGCAGGCACACCGATGTTGACCTACACCTTAGACTTTCAGCACTCCCAGATCCAGATGGGGAGTTTGCTGCAATAGCACACACACTCACACACCACCAACATGCTGGTTACCTGCGTGCCCGTTGTACTTTCCCATCGGGGCCGTAGATATTGGGTCTGAGCCCAAGCTCAGGCGCGGGCGAGGCAGAGAAGAACGGGGGAACACGGGCGAATGGCACCACACAGACACACACCCTAACGGCCGATGACTGTTAGTGTGACTCCTCGACGACAAACGGTGCTCTCTACAACGACCAAATCAAAAGGCAAATAAGCCCCAAGTGTCTGATCTGGTTCGATGTACCGCTCATTGATGTTTCCTGGGGTAGAGTAAGACAGACAATTGCGCCGTTTGTTAGGGGATTTGTGTGGGATAGCCTTGGCCTCGATAGATATTTCGGGGGTAGTTAGGTACCTTTACTGTGTAGGTAAGACAGAGATGTAAAGTACAAGATACTTGGTACCTGCCTCCAAAGGTAGCGTTCCTCAGCTAAATGTAAGGTACTTAACTCGGCTTACCACACTCTTCCTTCCCGTCGTTGATGATGTTAAGTTTCCAAGTGCTCCGTACCTCATCTTCCATGGCAGAACTTCCAACAAGCTGATACATAAGGTAAGGAAGGTATGAACAGGTAGGTACGCATCTCAGTGCGGTAAGCGCTCCTGCTCGACGCTCCGCATGAACGACGGAGGCGGCGACGACAGGAAGGAGGCAGGAGATGACACCGGGCAGGCAAGTACGTCCTGGGTCAGACGATCTTCTCGACGAATAACAGGTCCGGAAAAGGTAAGGTAAAGGCAAGGCAACGGTCATAGCAAGGGACTTTTCTTGAGGCAGGCGTGGCACGATCCACCGAGGAAGGAACAACAGACGAGGAAAAAGCAACAAGCCGACCAGCTGGCGCCCCAGGGGACCTGCGATCCCACTCTTTCACGACTCCATTCTTACTCTCGAGTCTCGAAGGAGGGCAAGGGAGGCACCGACGTCGAAGAAGAAGCAATAATGAACAGGCGAAGACGAGGGCTTGCCTGCAGGCCTGCCTGTAGCCCTGTAATGAATTTTAGCGCTTGCCTCGAGGCGGATACCATACGGCAAGGTACGTAATGGCGGATATCCTCTTCTCTTACCTGCGAATATTCGTACAAAGTACTCCGTAAAGTCTGGAATAACACACCTCGTTTGTGGCTGCAAATCTCTCCCCGCCGCCCGGCATTCTGGCATTAGCAGCAGTCATCATTGATCGATCAATCGAAATAAGAGACGAGTTTCGTTACATGGCTCTGTACAGACCACTCTTGGACGCGTTTCTGCCATGCTGGATACCTTCTCGCCAAAACCGCACACACCCATCACACAGCATCGAACCGTTCCTAGACCAGCTTGTTGCCACACGGCCAGCGGCGTCCGTCGACATGTGCCGGCACCATCCCGGCCGGCCCCCAATTATGTTCCATTGGTCCCTTAGCCTCCCCTTTCGACGCTACCTCCCAGGCAAAGTCTTGTCTACGTCTGTCACAGGCTATCCTAGCGCAACGACTTACACGATCCATGATCAAACGCTTCTTATCCACCGTCTATTTTCCGCTGTTCCCACCTGCGATAGCCCATCTTTGCTCTCCAAGGAAGGAAGGGAAAAGACACAAAGGGCAGGTTCCACGGGGATGAATATGAATCCCGTGTCAGAGATGAAGGCCTCAAGCACAGGGGACGGAGCAGGATCCAAACCGTTACGTGATCGACCCAGTCTCTTGGGGACGCTCTAGGAATCGAACAAGGTCATGGTCACTGTGTTAAATGGAGCCGTCGAGCCTGTCTGCCCACCATATCCACGCCAGGCCACATGAAATGCCTACCTTCGACGGATACGTACTTGGATCGATGGAACTATTTCATCACCTCTCATCTCCTATACCGACAAGTCACGCACAGGCACGATTCAGGTTGCCAAACATGGACCAGTGAGCCTGTCTACTTCGAGTAACCCGGAGCGCTGGGTCGGAGTCCTGCGAGACACGAAAGGCTGGTCAAGCTGGCTGCTGGTGCGAATATACTCTACGAATACAGGACAGGCACCATCGGCTCCAGCTGAGAGAGGCTGGTTGGCGGGTGAGTTGCGCCGGCCCTGCGCCTGATCGTCAACCTGCCTTGCCGACAAGAACGTCACCAGCCGCAGGCCAATCGCAGGCGTCATTTATGCGACCATCGATGATGCCTCCGAGCAAACGTACAGTACTCAGACATATTGGAGGCTGCTACTCCAACTCGCCCCCTCCCCCCAGGGCTTGTCCGCAGATGCGAGCCGCGAGCGATGTGCCAAAAGACCCAATATTGATTTTCGTGGAAGTTTCTCATACAAGTTGAGCTCCGCAAGAAGCACCGGCTGGCAACAACGTCAAATCAGAAAATCAACGTCAGCGAGCCACGAATTGCCCAGAATTATTCTGTAGCGGTGGATCCTACGGTACCGACGGATGGAGATGCCACGAGATGACTGGACAGGGCTGCCGCACACCCGCCTCTAAGCTGCCATGCTTGACTCATAGCCAGACATTTAGTGTCGGGGACAGGCCTGCTTGGCCACTCCATGCTCCATGTCAAGTCTATGTACTGCACTCATCGGCCGCTACCCGTCCTCGGTGATTGACCGTCTACAACAACAAAGACGAGATACAAAATTGTTGCTGAGGGAAAGGTGCACTAGGCTGAGAAGACGACCAAGAAGAAAAGCGAGGCAGAATGCTGCATGGCTTTCCGAAGCGGCCGAGTCAACAGCATATCCCAAATTTCAGACAGAAGGAAGGTAGGAGGCTACGGAAGGGGTTCCGAACTCTTGGTGTGCCAACCATCACCACTCCAGCAAACCCCTCTAGTAACTAGAATCTAGATACGATTCCTGTCTGTCACTGCACAGTGCACACAGCAGGATAGAGATGGAGGGAGAGGAGATGCGCCTCGGACGATGCCTGCTTCCTGCTTCGCTTTCTACGCATATGACGACGGTCAAGCACTCAGGGAACTCAAAGCGAGCTCAAGGTGACATCCATGGAAATTCCTAAGAAGTTTGTGGGAACGTCGGAAAAGAAAGTGGCAGAAACAGGGTCTCTCAGCTCTGTAACCTCTGGGCCCGCAGCAAGGAAGGCGGTCAGGTCCTACAATACTTGCATGTCTGCTTTCGGGGTCCTGGGCTGGGTGCCTTACCCACGACGTTTACCTCATGGTGGAGGCAATGGCACGCTGGCACGGCTGGGAATGGGAACACGGTGCAGCGAATACATGCAGAAGCGGAACAGAAGCAACACCCCACCGATGCCGGTCCACTCCGGATCCGACGAATGACAGTTTCGACAATGGCACCCCCAAGGCCAAAGACGCAGCCAAGTCCAGCGTCGGGGCGCCAGGTCTGTGTCTCGCTACGATACCCTTGCTAGCCGCAACAACTAAAACGAGCCTAACGTTCGCCGTGCACACCCTGCTGCCTTTTCCCAGAATTCGCTCCCGCTCCGGATGAATTCACCGTCGCATGGGTGGGCTGCGCGAGGCACTTGACACTTTGCTACTCAGGGACATGGCTCCTATGTATCCTTGGCTGGCTGGCGGAAGCAGAGGCTGGCAAATCCCAAAGCTGCCTACGAACACCGCTCTTTAGCGCCGCATACCTGGATCCCAATTTCGCCGACATTTCTGACCTGTCTCAGAGGGGAGGACCGTTTGTAACGAGCAACCCATCGTCACTACGGACACCTCGTTCTTGGGAGGAAAGGCGGTGTGGGACGTTTCTCACGGACACTTTACCTACCACGGCAGACGACCGCCCACGATCTACAGCAATTCCGAACAGATACACATACTCCCTGGCTCATCAAGCACAGAACATGGGCGCGTTTGAGAAGACCGAGGCTTTTCATTTCGCCTGCAGACTGATGAACGAGTTGCAGGTAGAGGAAGCCACGGACAACTTACAAGTTGGAAAAGATCGACTTTGTCCGCAGCCGCGGATAGCGAAGAACAGCAAACGCATACTCCGTACACCGAATGATATCCCAAAATCTCAACACCAAAGTACCGCCGCAAACGGCGCCCCTCAATACTCGATGCATCATTTCCTCGTCCCAAAAACTTTGGAATAACCTTTCCCCCTTGCTGGGGCTCGCCGCAACCTTCATCTCAGTGAGATACAGCTTGGATTGGCAATGCGCTGTACCAACTTTTCTGCCATGCTTTCACCCCCAGACTGTGATTTGACAGGCAACGTGGTCCAGGGCAGTGGACCAAAAGAGCCGTAGATCTCCAGGGGATTGACTCGCTTGTCATCTCTCTCCCACCAGATGAGGTGCACATGGGCTTCGAAGCGTGGCCGCAAGCTACCGGATCTCTGTGCGATCTTGGGTTTACACCTCGATCTCGAACCCATCCACTTCACTCCTACCTAGGCTGCACCCTCGATGGTATGACCCGCTGTTGACCTACGTGCTGCATGTGATGGCCGTGGCCAGAAGCATCATATTGTACGATTTCCCTCGCCGATCTTGCTCATCAAAACCGGCTTGCCACAATTGTCTCCCCGCCGACCCGGCCAACTGTTGAAGGAGCAATCCAAGATCCTGCGTGCGCTTGGCCGACGAACCACCAACACTGACACCACCACCCACACTTCACCCCGCAGGCACGGAGTCCCGAACACTCCTCATGTTACACGACCCGGCCGAGATCGCGGAGACGGCTACGGTAACGTCAGCGTTTGTCCACCGTTCGGCCGTCCACCCAGATGGCGATGTGTTAATGCCAGGAACCGTAGCGGGGTAACGCCTGAAATGCCGCAATCTCGATACTGCATGGTCGGCTGTCCATCACTCTTCACCGGCCCACCTGTGGATACACATGGTTCTGCACACGAGCCGATATTTTGTCCCTCGGGTAGGAGATTATTACAGGTTCCGTGCCTTATTGCTATTGAGCCTTGTGGCTCCTTAACTCTCTGGCTGCATATCCGTAGTCCCTCAATCATCACAAACCACAAATGTTATTTGGGAAGCCCTAGATTCTAGCGGAACGCTCCATAACCCAACAGCAATATCGGCCACCCATGAACTCCCCAATTGCGAAGGGCCTAGCATACCCTCACAGGAGCTACTCGCAGAGCCTGCTTTCGAATGCCCGAGAAGGCATCTGGCTTCAACGCTTATTACCAATCACTCTTGGTTGTTCTCGACATACAGGTATAGCGGGATGGGAAGATGCCTTGCTAAGCAACTCCAGGGCTTATACGCACTACTTGGTGCTAAAGCCGAATTATTCTGGACGGGTACGTAATGTCTTCAATGCCGTGTTCGCTTCGAGCGAATGACTCGGCGCCAGCCGATCTGAGAGCTTCGGACCGGACTCGCCCAGGATGAAGCCTAGACGCGGTGTTAGGTAGAGAGGACATTGCCGAAGTAGGCCCAATACCACAAGGGGTTGCCCTCAAACAGCCTCCGCACAACGACAGTCCATGATGCACGCATGAGGCATGATTCAGACTAAAGGAGGCCCAGAGCCAGCAGTTCGGACGACCTTACGAATGAAGTAACGCTGTGGATGAGGGACAACATTGGAAATGTAGGTGCTAAAGGGGCGCACGAAACGAATACCTACACCAACGAAGATAACCTTCAACAAGGAAGAAGCAGCCACTTGAGACCTAGTGATGATTTAGACTTAGGTCAGCTACCGTGGCTTCGAGCTTTCAAGATCCATCCTCCGTACGCCCAAAAGCTACAAGTCGCTCGGTGACTCGGGCTTTGTCGGGGGCTGAGGGCAAACGTGGCAGGCGGGAGCGCACAGAGGACCCTGACCCTAGCAAGGATCGTGGAAGGTTTCTAGAAGACGGTTCGGGCTGAAGAATGAGGCGCACGGGAATCGCCCCCGTCCCTCTCATCAATACCTAGTGAGGACTGGCCTTCACTAATTTACTACGTAGGAGACCTTGACCTGGTCTGTGATTTTGTTTGCCATCATGACACACGAATCCGTAGACTGTGTATTACGACGGAGTAATCCATCACCCAACCAGCGGTGAGAATTACGGGGCGCATCTGTACTCTGTATGCAACGCATAACAGCGAGGACCCTGAATCGGGGCGGAAGCTCTGTTGCATGTGGATATTGGTGGACTGCATGACTTGGACCCTGAGTATCTCTCGAAGCTTTGAAACAGAAGAGCACCCGAAACTCGACGAGAGTTAAGCTACGGAAATTTGGCCTCCTATATTCTCGCGCCAATGCACCAACGGCACCACCACTACCACGCTGGAAAGGATTTGGGTTTTGCCGGTTTGACGCAGTCATGAGATGAGTTTCTACTCACCGCCTCTGAATGCTCGTCCACACACCGCCAAGATGTGTTGTTGGACACTTTCTGCGCTGAACATTTACTTCAGGCCAGTCTTGCGAATCTGTGAAGCTTGCTCAGAAACATCACGCACTTTTCCCAGGCATCTCCAAGCGCCGCGCTTTGCGGGGAAGACGCCCAACACGGCGCGGGAATGGACTGACAAACCTATAGATGCGATTCCTTTTGCTGCCTAGCACCAGTATGAAGCAAGAGGCAATGCATGGCCTTGGTAGCCAGCTGACATCTTGCTAGAAGCCATTCTAGTTGTTCCGAAGCGTCGTTCAACATGGCTTGACCCTGAGCCCCCACTTGCGAGAGGAGAACAACTCATAGCCATGGCAGGGCGGTCAAGGGCTGGGAAGAAACAACAACAACCACGACAAATTATTTCTAGGGCGACCTCGGAACAACCCTTCATGCGCACTCTGGTACTACAATTACAGGATCGCCTTTGCCGCATGCGCCTGGCTAGCGCACAAATCAAATAAAGGAGAATGGCAAAATGGTATAGGCGAGTGAGAGTGGTGTCAGAAATGCAGATTACCAACATCAGGCCACTCCCATCCTTACAGAGAGCATCTGGCGAGTATTCGTACCTTGCTTATTCGTGTCCAACGGCATGTGCGTACACGGATATTATGGGGCGCCGGGCTGAGCGTTCGGGCGCGGCCGGTGAGTGAAAGGGGCCGTTCTACGGGGAGACTTCGCTGTCAAAAGGGGTCGCCCTCGGCAGGTCGGATTCGATGGACTTGGAAGGCAGCATTTCTTGCCGGGCGCTCAGGCCCGACCAACGCGGAGAGAGAGTTGACCCAACCCGAGAGCGGCGTCCCCGTCATCAGGAAAGCGGTGGACATAAGTCGGCGATCTCCAGGTCCGCAGCTGAATGATCCCCGATACGCGAGTATTTCCACTGCAGCAGTCTGCCTGAAGCCTCGGGGGGGACAAGGCGTTCGGCGTTTGAAATCCCATAATTTACTGGAGCCTCGAGCAAACGGCGAAAATAGGGAACTCTCTGGCAAAGTGGTCAGACTGACGACCGATGGGAATGTGCGGCGCCTCGTCCGGTTTTTTTGTGTCTCTGAGGAATGTGACAGCCAATCAGAAGAGATGAAATTGTTCCCTCACGGCTTACTCAGCCAGTGCGGAAATTTCTCGGTGTTTGCAGAGGTGAGTGATTCCGCGGAGGGCTCTAGACTGAGAGACAGCCCGGCCGCTGAACAGCCGCTTTGTGGTGCCGCGAGGCGTTACTGAGAGCAGGGCCAGCACTTGCGGGCCGGCAAAGACCGGACAACAAGGGTCCATTACATCATGCCGTAGCGACGACCTCATGGCACGATTCTGGGTCCCATGAGAGCTTTTTTCGCCCACGCGGCGTCCCGTCCACCAGGTTTTCAATCGCCGTCTGCATCTGTCATCAACTTTGACAATTCCATTCATTGGATATAAGGCCATTGACACCTTCTTCAGCCTCACTATTCTCAGCTGCACAGAAACATCCATCAAAAATTTCAAGACCGCGATTCACTGAGACCATTGACCTTAGCGAAAACGAGCAAAGGTAGCTTCGAATCCCGATCCGTCATCCATCCGTCACCAACCACCACGTAATTACGACACTACTATCCCCACGACCACCACCGCCGGCTCAGATCCCGACAACACCAAAACCTACAAGGCTGCGCACCTAAACAACTCTTTTTGCAGCTTCAGTTCTTTTTCCCCCATTGAGGAACAAATACCTGTTCCTCCCTCTGCGATCCGAAAGGTCCACACCATTTAACACACCACAACCACCCCGCATAAACCGCAATCATGAAGGTCCTCAGCAAAGAAGAGGAGGCAGAGCACTACAGCGTCGTTGTCAAGGCCGGCCTCATCGGCGGCACGGCCGGTCTGGCTGTCGGACTCGGCGGCGTCCTCTTCGCAAGCAAGCGCTACCCTGCCTTCCGTCAGCTCACCCTCCCCTTCCGCTCCTTCCTCGTCACCTCGTCCGCGACCTTTGGCGCCATCGTCCACGCCGACCGCGAGTCCATCCGCTTCGGCAAGGAAAAGGACCCCATGTACGGCTACAAGGACGCGACGGCGCGCGCCATCGCCGAGGCCAAGGCCAACGAGACGGAGATGCAGAAGCTCAAGGAGTGGGGCCGCGAGAACCGGTACTCCATCGTCTTTGCGTCGTGGCTCGCGTCCATGGGCGTCGCGCTCGCCATCGTCGGCAAGGACAAGTACCTCACGGGCGCGCAGAAGCTCGTTCAGGCTCGTGTCTACGCGCAGGCCCTCGCCGTCGTCATGCTTGTCGTGACCGCCGCCTTTGAGATGCAGGACGCCAAGACGGGCGCCGGCCGCTGGGAGACGGTTATGATTATCGACCCCGAGGACCCGGAGCACAAGCACCTCATTGAGAAGAAGATTCACAAGGAGGAGTACGAGGGCCAGGACCTATGGAAGGGTACGTTAACATTCCCCAGGCTTATCTCCCCGAGCGGGTGATCAGCCGATCCCCACTGTTGTTACCGGAGCTCATTACTGACATTCTATCAAACAGATATGGTTGCTGCCGAGGAGCGCCGCATCGCTGCCCGCAAGGCTTCCGAGCAGAAGTAAACATTTCTAGAGGCATCACTCGACTTATCACCCATCCATCCACCTGTTCCATGAACCCATACAGGGTTCAATGTACGAATTATTTCCTATGTCTTTCGCAGAGCAAAGTTCCCCACGGAGCAGAGAGATCAGCTTGGCGGATGATTTTCATTTTGCATTGCCGGCGTTATATTTATATAGGGAGAAAAGCGTTGATGACCGGGCCACGGCCTCGTCGTTCAACACCCATTGATGATTGTTCGAATGTCACTATGAGAGAGAGCGACATTGGCAAGCGAGAAACTAGATGTCTGATATATCAGTCCGGCGGTGTAGCAAGTCTTTGCTGAATACAATTTCTACTTAATTCACCTTCTGGTCACAGCTGCCAATGCAGTTCCCGCGTGAGTAATTGCAGAGAGGCAAGCGATAGCCCTTCTCTGCACACGTATAATCAGACCACTCAGGTGGCGTGATACGACCATACACCAGATCCATATATGCCCGCTACTTCCCCCAGCAATAATGAATCCGAAGCCACCATTCTTCTATTTTCGATGACCGTTATCGGTTTCGTTGCCATTTACCTAGAGGAATCGCAGGGGAACGGAAACACTAGCTACTTACCCAGAACACGCTAGGCTATGGTATTCGTACAGCGGAACATCGAGACGAGAGAGAGGGGGGGGCCAAGCTCCCGTGATCCTTGGCGGAGCGCAACCCACCCCTCCTTTTCCTCCTCCTTGCCTTCCTTGCCCTCCGTCTCCTCCGTCCTGGGACCTCCGACGGTAACTTTTTTCTTTGTTACTCCAAGTCCAAGAATACCTACTCCAACTCCCTCTACGTACTTGCCTCGACTCACTCAAAAAATAAAAATAAAAATAAACGACTCCAAATGATCATCGAGAACAACTCCCTTGCTGGAATGACGTACCTCCCCGCATCAAAAACCCCATCCATCCATCCATTCATCCATTCATCCATCCGCCCCCTACTCGCGCAGCAAGCGGTACGGGCCAGACCAGACACCGAAAGATTCGCGAGTCAGTCCAAAAAAAAGTACGAGTTGCGTTTGTCGATCCGGCATCCCACGATTGGGTGATGTACGGATACAAACAAGGGCAACCACCACCCGATGTTACATACTAAGTATATCCGTAGTTGAGAGAGATCTCACAATTACGGATTCGTCACGTCACGTCACACAATGATAGATAAGCGAAGAGCACAAGAGAGCAGATCCCAACACTCAGCGTCTCTATCCCTCTGAAGTGAAAGGGCCAGATATGTTCAACAGGTATATAAGATAGGTAAATAAAAACAAAAGATAACGCATGCCTGCCTGCCCACCTGCCTATCCATCGCCCACCTAGGATTTTAATAAAGCCGTTCCGTCATCAAGCATAGGTAGATAACTGTAGATAAGAGGCATTGCTGCCTTGGAAAACGACGCACGAAATTTGGGGTGAGGAGAAACAGATTAACCAAGATTACGGTATATGGCAAAGATGCTGTTGAAAAAGCAAGAACAACGGCAGGCTCCCAGCTTCTTCCTTGAATCTTAGACCTCAATAGTGAAGTGGCTAATCTGGGAATAATACGCGTGCACAGCCAGTTCCAACATCCAGACATCGCTAAACACTTCGCTGCCGTCAAATCCACCAATGATGAACAGACGGCTATCGTACAGAACGGTGCCGTGATATCCACGGCCACTAGGCGGCAATCCATAGACGCGCCGACGATCCCACGTCATGGTAACGAGGTTAAGTAGCAGGACATCGTTGGAATACTCGTTGCCATCGTGTCCACCAACAATGAATAGATAGGAGCCGACGAGGGTGGCCGTATGTGATAGGCGGCGGTAGGTCTGCGGGATGGACACGGCTTTCCAGATATGGGCGTCGACGTCGTAGACCCACACGTCGTTGAAGCACTCGCCGCCATCGGAGCCGCCAAAGATGATCAGCTTGCTTCCCACCATGTTGGCGGTGTGGTAGCCGCGGGGCTTCGGGCGAGTCTCCCGGACGCCCGGGGGCGGGGCCCGCTCCGGCCCGGAGACAAGCTTCCATGACATCTTGTTCATATCGCTAACGTCGAGGCGCCAGACATCGTTGAGAGCGCGAACCCCATCACCGCCTCCAAAGATGTAGATGCCGTTCTTGTAGAGGCAGGCTGTGTGCGCGCGACGTTTGGAGGGGACACGGTCGCCTATAATCTTTGGCCGGTGCCACCTGAAATTTGTCGTGTCTAGAACGTATATATCATTGTAATAGGCGGGCCCATCGCCACCGCCAAAAATCACCAGCTTTTTGCCGACAGCTGTGCAGGTCATTGCGCGCAGTGGCACAGGGATCTCGCCGGTAACGTGCGGTACGGACCAGTAGAAGGCATCTGCATCAAAGACGTAGAGCTCGTTGAAACAGGCGCGGGAGTCGCAGCCTCCAAACACAAATATGTTGGATCCGACAAGCGTGGTCGTGTGAGCGCGAAGTGACGTATGGGGAGCCCCTGAGACGGGCGCTCGCGACCAGTACATGCCTGATGATGGGGCCGGAGGTACATCTGGCGCAGTCTTTGGGTCCTGGAGGGGCGGAAAGGGGATATGTTGACCTTTGGGAGCGGATCTTGAGGATACTGTCGTCGAGAGCTGGCGTGTTGAGGATGACGAGAGAGGGAGCGAAGAAGGCTTTGCGGCTATGGCAGATGTGGAGCGCATGGCGATAGGGCGGCGGCCGTCACGGTCGGAGCCGTGGCCACCGGTAGACTCGGAGCCATCGTTGCTGTTCAGCGTCGTGGCATCGCTGGCAGTATTGCTCGGCCGGAAGGACGGTGGCGGAGGCCTAGGGGTATTCGCGCTCGTGGGTGTCGTACGAGACTGTTGTGAGGCCTGGGCCTGGGACGCCGACTGGGAGCGCTGGCGAATGGAGAGTTCGGAAGGTTTGCGGCGACGGTCTTGACTCTTGGAGGCAAGGTGACCGGGAGTATGGGAACGCGAGATTATGGGTCCTCCCGGAGCGGAGGGAACACGGCGGTGCTGCTCGATGTCGCGGTCGCTGAAGTCCTCGAGATCGTCGGGAACGCCTGGTGGTGGGGGCCGGGAATCGTTGGGCGGAGAGATCTTCTGAGAGCGTACAACCTTGGACTTGAGGGGGGACCGGGGGTTCTTGTCCGAGGACCTGGCCGAATCAGCCATGGTTCGGCGGGGGAATAGTCATTGCCCCCCTCTCGCGAGGATGTGGATGATTGTCCGGGGGGTCGGTCTTTGGGACAAGGCGATTGCGGTTCGAGGGAGGGAGGTGGTGTGGGAAGAGAGGGCAGAGAGAAGGTAGTATATCGGGCCAATTGGCGAGGCAAGGTCGTCGGGAGAGCGGTGATTCGGGAGCAGGCTAACGGACGTGCGTCGAGGGGGCTTCGGGGCTTGAGTCGAGGGACAAATTTGTTTACTTGGGTTGCTGAGGGTTGTGTTGCAGTTGCTGTGTCGTTGGATGACTCGGGGCTTGTGTGGTCTGCTGTGAGGTATGGTACGTGTAGTTTGGTTGCAGAACGCCAGGTAGCCGTAGTAGGGTAGAGGAGAGAATTGGAGCCTAGCCGCAGAAAAGAGATCCACTTTCGTCTTGTTCGCAAGGTCGGGTCCCAAGGAAGGCTCTAGTGCTTGTAGTAGGCGCTGGTAGTGGTATCTATGTTGCAGGAAGTAGGTCGGTACAGTTGCTGGCGCTGGCCCTGACAAGAAGGCAGAGGGGAGGGCGGGCGGACGTGGGCTGGCACTGGCAGGGGAAGGTGCGTCGCACGACCTCGGTGACGGGGCCTTGTTAGTGCGATCACTGCTAGGCCTCGGGTAGGTTAACAATAAGGTACAGACAGGCAGGTGTGCCCCCCATGTCAGCTACGGGATACTAGGTATGCCTTAAGCCTTGAGATGAGGTAATGAAAGGTACTTTGCTGGAGCAGCATCCATCGGCTCCGTCCCTTCCCTGGGCTGAGATTGGCGGGATCCGAGGGCTAGAAGGCCCAGAAGGGCTGGAAGGGCTAGCCTCTGGTCCCTGAGCAATTCCGCCCACGTATCACAACTCTCGTTAAGGCATCCCCCTCGCCAAAGCCAAGCACAGACCACTGTCGGCCCCTGCATTGGCCTGCTGTGCTCCTCGAGCCTGCCCGCTACCTGCCGCTGTCTTGCTGTCACGGTGTCACCTCAGGGCATGGTAAGGCAGTTCGCCCAGGGTGGGTGTGATTGGTCGCGTGAGGTCACAGGTGATCCTCTCCAGCTGGCAACTACCAATTACTTCACACGTGTTCTAGATGCTCAGCGACATGTCCGATCATGTGTGAAATTCCAAGTCATTGTGAAAGTCTAATACTTTGAGACAGTGTCTCTCCTCGGATTCATTCTCACAAATTCGGGTGAGCCCTGGGCTTGGCTCTGCGCATGAAAGTAGCCAGCATGTAATCATGGGGGAAAACAAGATCGCACACAGTAACACCCCGCAGTCAGGATCTTGGACATATTTCTTATAAGGATACAATGTGACATGAAAGTAATTTACGGACGCCGGGCGACCAAGATGTCTCCGGAGAAGCGAAAATATGATATGTTCAGTGAAATCGAACTCAAATTGAGAAATCACCAGGTCACAATGACCATTTTCCAAGGAAATATCATCACCCACAGGGTACATCTCACTCGTGAAGTGTCCCGTTATCCGACGTTACAGGTACTATATATATCTTCAAGTCCTACCCAGCAAATCTTGAAGGGAATATCCTAATTTCAAAACATGCCTCGCGGGATTGCACCCCGACCCTACTCATGGCACTCACTGTCTTTGAGCACCATTTCGCAGCTAATGGGCTCATCATAGATGGTGGGGAGCATCAACTCATGTTGACAATGGATCCATTCATAGTTAGCTAGTTGAACTTACTGAAGAATGCGCAATTTAACAATGACAGCCCAAGGTTGCTCGGTCTGATAGAACCGAAGAAGCGACTAATTTCGAAAGGGCCCCTAGGAAGCCATGGGATGTTCAGCTGCAGCTTCTCATCTACTGCCGGCCGGGGTTTGAACTCAGATTTGGACTAAGAGCCAAAGTGAGACCTGATGTTTTCCATGTTTTCTCTTACCTTAGTTTAGCGAAAGCTCTGACATGTCTCGGTATTCACCAGGCTCTTTTCCCAATTTAGCTCTCGAGATTTCGACTTCACGGCATAACCGAGCTAGCACCTAATTCTTCGTGCCGACGAGGAGAAGTTCTGCCCAAGTTTTGCCCGCCGCCATCACCCACTTGCTCGGGCTTTGAAGTGATAACAAATCGGGATTCCTATCGGGATATACCCATCTTTTGCCGAAATAGCATGCTTTGTATGAGTAAGTGAACCTTCACTTTAGCCGACAACAGCATTTCGGGAGTCTGGAGAAAGGTTGGCAGGCAAGCTGCGAGTGAGACTCCGCAACCAACTCCTTTGGCCGGCGGCGCGGGGCCGCGTCCATTATCCACAACGTCATCTCATAGTTGACGGGTTACACAACAAACCTTAACCATTTCGAAGCCTTTCCCAATCGGAACGGGCAGGCAAGTCGTGCCGCTCTCTTGGGTGTGAGCTTTGAGACTCCCACCAGGAGTCCGGGGGAACTAGGCAAAAAGTAAGATAAGAAGCGACTCTGCCTTATTGAGATTACAGTGACGCAATTCCCATCTGGGGGGTTTAATCAAGGAAGTTGCTACATTGTGCGTTTTTTTGGCGATTCAAGAGAGGGGTGTGAGTAGGCATGCTTGCGTGACCTGCTCACAACCGTCCAGAGACCGTCTCGACTCTTCATACGAAAACGGTGAGCATACGAGGTCAGGAGACCCGAGAAGAGCTGTGTTGCCAGCCGCTCGGATAGGACCCCTTGCCACCCAAGACAGTCCATTCCCGGGGGGGTGCTGGGAACATCGGTTTCCTGGGATGGACTTGAAGCGAAAAGGCGATGAGGAGTTCGTGAGGGGTTTAGCGGAGTTTGGAGTCAGTCCGGCAAGGGAAAGCTGGAAATTTGGAGTTCCATATCCCGTGGCTTTTGAGCTGCAATCCATATTCGTAGTCTTGTCCGATGCACGATACACGATTCAAGTCCCGGATCTTTTTCCTGCCTGCCACCCTGCCAAGACCGGGGGTTGAGGGAGAGTGAGAGAGGAAGTTCTGGCCTCCGGGCCATACACGTGTGCGGAGCGGCCTGCGTGTTGTTGAGGAGGAAATCCCCACGATATCCCAGCCCCGAAATCTGTTTGATGGGCATTTGGAGCCCCCGTTCTGATGTGATATCTGATTTGCGTCATTACATCGCCAGCTCTGACGAGTATGACGAATCGAACGACGAGAACCGGGGGCCATGTTGCACTTCCGACGAACAATTCGGATCTCTTCCTGGAAGATTATCTCCTAATCTCCTTTTCACGACTCAGGATTCACAATCGCATCAAGCTATTCCTGCGCAAGGCGTCCCACTGATATTCCTGTCTCACATACGAGAGAACGGACAATCGCAAGTTCAAGAAGATCAGATTAGGCAAGAGGAGACGGTACCCGAGCAGACAGCCAAGACCAAGATGTATCGAGTACATCGACGTGTCGCCATGCAAGATGTACCGTCTACTTCTGAGGCTATAAACGAGGCCCCCGAACGTGCCCAGGGGGTCTACCCCCGGCAGAACATCTTCCCAAGAGTCGATGAACTACAAAAGGATCGATCAACGTCATCTTTACCCACACCCTCCTCGAAACATTGGCACTACAGTACCATGCCAGGTGGGCGACACCTTCGGTTGCCGCTCTATAGGTACCCTCCCTAGCGCTTATCCTATCACTCCTATTATTCCTGTTGACCTTGTTCCTCTCCCTCTTGTTCCTGTTCCTATTCTCCCTGTTCCCATTCTTATTGTCCCTATTCCTATTCCTGTTATCACTGTTCCTCTTCTTTTCTCAAATAATTCTTAAAAGATAAAGGAACAGTAGAACTAACAGGAATAAAAAGAATAAAAACATTGTGGACAATAAGCAGGTAAGTAAGTAAGCATGGTAATCTTTTGTTGGCCATTATCCCATTTTGTCACTTGCATGCCCACCATCCCACTCCCGGTTCTCCGGGGGTTTAATGCCGGTGGGTAGCGTGGTGGCAGATCACGGTAATGGGTGGTCGTGGTGTCCGTGGTTGGTGAGAAGGGAGGGGTCACTGGTTAGATTGAGATCCCCAACACCAGGGTAATGTCTGCCCGTGGACCTGGGTGCCTGCCATTCAGTCGAGCTACTTTTTAGACCGGTGCGGCAGGCAAGAAAGACGGACTAGTCCATGGAACTAGGTGCGTTAGACGAGATTTCAAAAGCCAGAGAATCCCAAGACTGCAACGCCAAACAAATGACCGCCCAGAAAACGCGAATTCATTGGGGGCTGAGACGAACTGGTCGGGTTTCTGACATGGGATGCGAGCCGTGCCATGACTCGCTCGAGGTCGTATCTCGGAAGACGTTCGGTCGGTAGACACGCCGATGTTCGGGGGTTGTGGCCGGTGCTGTGGGTCCGCTGGGCGCTAAGCCCGCGTGGATGACGGGCTACAGGTGGAGGCCCGCAAGTGGAGAGCTGCTTGGATGAGTTTCTGTCAAGGATTTCCATGAACATCCGATATGGTGTAGTGGCCAACATGATGCCCTCTCATCTCAATATGAGAGGTTAGGCATAGCCCCGAGTTCGATTCTCGGTTTCGGAACTTTTGCCGGTTGAAGGCATTCCAGCACCCCTTTTTGACATATTCGTCTCCGGCCAGAGCAGACATTTGACGTAGTCTGATGAATACAGCCAACAAATTCTTTTGACTGTGTTCGCGACTCAATCTCAAGATCCTCTTTTTGCCCCTGACATGAAACCACTATCACCAGCCTCTAGTGACAGCTCCAACATGAGCACCCTCACCACCAAGACATAACACATGCGACCACACCCACTGGAGAACTCGGGATCCCGTCCGCTCTCCCATCGATAAACCGGTGAGGGCCGGAGTAGTAGTCGGGTCGGAGACGACCGGCGAATGCCCGGTGTTGCATGTATATACTTCTAACTCTTCTTTTTGTTTTGTAGCCTTGGTGGACGGTGAGGGATCGTGTTGCGTAGTTCCGAAGGGAATGGCGAGTTCTTCCTTGTTAACTAAGAAGGAAGTGGGTGTCCCGTCCTGTCGTCAACTGCTCAGATACCGATGATAGTTGCGGCTCGGTGCCAGGGAAAGCTAAGTCGGCTGCTGTCTGCCTTATGATATAAGACCACGGGCAAGCCTTGTCACTCTCAGGACATGCGAGAAGGTCTGGCGATACTGTGAGTATGTGCTCTCCGTCTCTGAGGATGATCTCCCTCGGCTGTATACGGTCCATGTCATCATGTAAAGAGTTCTCGGGAAGCTTTGATACATGGATTATGATTGGAAAGTAGCATAGAGTCTTGAAAGAAACGTGACTATCATAACTCCACCTTACGCCAGCCTGGATGATAACTACACGAGATATTAACCAGCTCAATTCCCACGCAATAGCACAAGTTCCCCTCAAGATCATAAGCAGTAACGCTCCAGACACTCTCGGACCTCCAAGCTCAGCTCCGACCACTTGCTCTTCCTCGTTACGCGTTCTCCCAACGAGGCATCGTACGGAACAAAATACCCACCGATTACAATATTGACAGATTCTATTGGAACCAGCTTGGACTGTCTCCGCGTTGTCTTCCCTTTGTTAGGAGGAAGGAACTTGCCTCTGAGCTCTTCTGTCATGCTTGATAGACGTGCCCAGTATTGCCGAGAAGACTCATGTGGCTGTCTCTCCCATCGTCCTGATATGATCATCTCGGCTTTCTGGGTCCCACTCCATGGCTTGTAGCCTATCGATAGGGAGGTCGACTCATGGCAAAATTGGTCGAGCTTCTTTTGGTCTGTGAACCGATCAACAAGCAACCAGCGAAGGACACGCGGCGAGGTAGCTGCGAGCTCCACTGCAGACCGAAAGTCATTGTGGCCTTGGAAGGAGATGCTCGCTCCATGGCGAACGAGATAGATGACGGATTCCAAATTTCCTGCGCTGGAAGCCGCCATCAGTGCGGAGCCTTCCGGACAGCCTTCGAAGTCTATCGGGATTCCCAGAGACAGTATATTTTTCATGACTTGAATTTGCCCTCTAGATGCAGCAAAAGACAGGGGGTTCCAAAACCCGCCAGCCTCTAGGTTCAGAAGTGTGCGGAGCTTCTCCGTCGACAGCTTTCGACGGTACATTCGAAAGGCTGTTGTCAAGCATGCTGCAGCTTCGTTGGTAGCATCTCTACCCAGAAACATAGTCGACCATGGAATAGGCCTTTCGTCCTGAATCTGGAGGTCTCCATTTAGCAAGAGGGCCACCATGGATTTGTGAAAAATACTCAGATGAAGGGCAGAGCAGCCGAATATGTCAAGTTTGTGTGGGTTGACGCCCATTCGAGTTAGTTTAATGAATAGTGCAGGCCTGGCGACGTTCGTTTCATCAGTCTCGTCGCGTGTGAAGAGACGGTGTAATACATTGCACTTTCCATAATCTTCGACAAGTACATCCGGGCCCCTATCCATCAGAGCTGAAATGACACGAGGGTTTCCCTGTGTACATGCTTCAGCTATCGGCGTAACGCCGTTGTTATCGCGATACTTTAGATCGCTTCCAGACTCGAGTAGAGCTCGGACAACAGCTGAAAGGTCAAATGTAGCTGGCGCCTTGATAGAAACGAGGAGGGGGGTCCAACCCTTGTCGTCTGTGGCCTCAAGATCGGCACCACTGTCGATTAGCAACTGAACGGTCGACACATTTTTCATAGATGCCGCCCAATGCAAGGGTGTCCTGCCCTGCCATCTTCTATTGACGGCTAATGCCAAAGCTGCCGACGAGCCTACACCAGCTTCCTTTCTGTGTAGATGTGAGCGAGCAGACTTTGCCAACCTTGGAGACTAACTTACGCGTAAAGCTTTCTATTTGCTTTAAGATGATCCAGAAGTATTCTCAACCCTCCTTCATTATTTGCCCTCACAGCTGTGGCTACTAGACATCCTGGCTCGTTCAGAACGCTACCACCGGTTGCAGTATACCTCTTGAGCATCGCTTGTAATCCTGTATTCAAGCGAGGTTGACTCATCATCAATTGAATGATAGAACCATCGTTCCCGTAGGGATAATCCGCATTCGCACCTTGTTCTAGAAGCCAAGTTATGATCTCCAACCTCCCAAAGCATACAGCGACTCCAAGAGCTGTGCACACTCCAGATGTGTGCCCAGGTAAATCGATATCGACCGTTGACAGTGGCGCAAGGAGCTGCTGACAAGAAGAAAGGTTTCCAACTTGTATAGCTTTAAACACTGTTTGAGCAAGAGCTGCAGAACGTATACCGTCTGGAACTACGTCGCACTGGCCCTTGTCGTGGTCTCTGAGGCAGTTGATGATCCTTTGGTCCTCGCGTTGATATGCCAGTAGCAGCGGCGTCATTCCATGATAGTCGGATGTCATTTCACTGCCCAGTTCTAAAAGCTTTTCGACTGCCGCAAGATTGCCTCCATCAACAGCAAGATGCAAGGCTAGTTGACCATCAACTGACCTCGCGTTGATGTTTGCACCTCGAGCGTGGACAAGCTCAATCGCACTGGTTTCCCCGCCCAAGACTGCAAAGTGAACAACAGTGTACCCATTTTCTGCCGTGGCTTCCAGGCTGATAGAAGCCACCTCCTCGAGGACGAAATGGAGACAATCAACAGATGAGATGGCCGCGTAATGCAGCGGTCTGATGCCTTTGTAAGTTTGATTCCCATGGGAAAAAACACTTTGACCTTCCCAGTCAATATTCCAACTGGGATTCCTGTGCTCAAGAAGTTCGGACAAGAACGACACGCTACCACATGCAGTTGCCGCGTGAGCCGCTGTCCACCCAGATCGGCATGGGACTGTGGGATCCGCTCCATGAAGGAGGAGAACAGCTGCCAGGTCAGAACGTTTGCCAGACAAGTGGTAAGCTAACGCTGAAGAGTATGGGTGGGTGTTGATCCGAAGATCTGCGTCAGAACCGCACATTAGAAGCATCTCAACTATTTCTCGCCTGAACCGTGGCACATCATCCTCGTTCGAGAGATGAATCAACCCCAAGCCGGACTTTGGATTTGTTTGATTCAAATACTTCGGATCTGCATGATCAAGAAGTTGCCGTACTCTGGAAGTGTCGTCTTCGTGGGTCGCTGGCAACGCACAAACATGTTCCACTGCGGAAAACCCTCCGTAACGTCGGTGGACACCAATGCCTCGGACCAAAAGCTGATCTACTGCCATGGTGTGGTTGAGAGTCGCAGACACTTTGAGAAGTTCAACAGTGTATGGTGACTTCTGGAGGCTGTTCCAGTATGTTGTAGTCTTCAGTAAGAAACACAACGTTTCGTCTGTGAGGGGGAAGTATCTGATGTGAAGCTTGTCCAACCACTTATTCGAACAGGCTTCAGCGATCGGTAGAAGCGCAGATTTCGAATGGTCTTTCTCGTAAGCGACGAAGATGCCAACTCTTGTCAGGCATCTGGCTGTTTCGTCTATATACTTGGATGCAAGGTGTAGGCCCTGAAAAGTTCTTGCGGCGTAGTGCTTCCACACTTTTGACGCCTCGGAAGGATCTAAGTGAGTCGCGAGCGGCTGAATTAGATACTCCAGCACCTCCACAGCTGGCGAGATGAAGAAAGATGGCGTTTGGAAAGGGTACTCTGGGTCTAGGGCTAATATGTTATCCATGTAAGATTCCCAAGGCAACTTTGCACAGCTTCGACTTTGCCTTGCGTCTGGGATCAGTGACTCCAATTCTTTTACCATAGCCAAAGTCGCATAGGAATTCAAACAATGTAGCGGGTTTTTCTGTTCATAGTCGGCCGGGTGAACTTCCAGACCCATACTTCGAAGTAGGGGTAAGATCCCTTCAGAGCCTGATTCAGCAACCAAAAACAGTATTGCAGTCTGGCATTCCCAGGCCGTCGGTTCATTTTCGCACCTCTTTAGGATGACTCTGGCGAAATCGATCTCTCTCTTCTCGATTGCAAGCGTCAATGGTGTATGACCATCACTGTTACGCTTGGATAGGCTGCAGCCGACGCTCAGTAGCAAGTCTAATACTTCTTCGGCCTTGACGATCCACGTGTCATCCATTCCGTCTCCCTCATAATCATGTTCTGACCGGACTAGTAAATGCAGCAACCCGTCTTCATGGTCAGGGCTCAAGATGGATGAAACATCAACTCGCTGATCATCAACCACTTCCTGCAACATACTAATATCGTAGGTCCGACAGGCCGCCAATGCCATCGTCTCGAGGCTATGTGCATCATCAGTAACTTTGGAACTGATATTATAGCCTTTAAGATCATTGGGATTCGGACTCAATTGCACGCAATATTCCCACGCCGACTGACAAAACCCAAGATGCAAGGGCGAAGTATCAATTCCAGAGCTAAGCGCTTCGCAGAACTTGCACAGTGATGGCAGACGTCTTTTGTTCCACAATTGTACGTCATTAGCAATCGTAGCGTCCATGGCCCTTTTGAAATGGTCTAAATCGCTTTGAGTGGGAATAAGACCTTTGTCGACGAGTAGCCGAGCGACCGAAAGGTTGCATGTTTTGATCCCATCACTGAGAGAAGCACGTAAAAGACCCTCTGGTGCTTGGAGACTCATACTCAAAAACAATCCAACGGTTTCAATGGTATAAGCAAATTCAAGACTGTCCGTTCCCATGTAGCGCCGAAACCACGCCGGTCTGGGCATAAAATCATCAGAATCGACTACGGGGTGCCCGAGAACCCCGTAAAGACACTTTACGGCACACTCGATTGGAGTTCCAAGTATGCATTTGGTCTCGTGCTGATCCGAAGTCTGTAGTAGGAATGAACTGATCTCTGGTAGTGACATAGTCGCCGCGAGGTGCAGTGGTCGGAAGCTGTCGTGAATGATTTCCGCTATCGAATCAACTGTCTTCATGTTGATGTTTACCGTATCGGTATGCCAAACAAGAGCTTCAGACCAGATATTCCTTACTAAAGTCACTGCCCATGACGTGAAGTGCGAGGATTTTTGCTGGTCGAATAGCCGTTTCGCCTTGGCTAGCAACTCAGGATGTGTCCATTCTTCTCTAGCGAAACATAACCAATAGTTCGCAGCATATTCGTATAGACGATATTTCTCATGCCTCTGTTCCATATAGGCGAGTTCCTCACTTGTTGCCGTCGGCAGATGATTGAAGTTGTCGAGCTGAAGATATTCCAAGCATCGCACTGCTAGGAGTTTGTTGCAATGAGATCGAGTAATGTGAAACATCCCTAAATCGGATGACTGTAAAATGTCACTCGTCAAAAATTCTTGAACCGAAGAATGAGCGAATTCAAAGTAGTTTCCTTCATTTGACTTTCGAATCAGACTACTGCAATACCTGGCTATTGCGTCATCCCTTATGATACCAGATGGGCTTAGATGCTGGCTAGTTGATGGTATTGAAAGAACCTCTCTCAATTTCTCAATGTCAAGTTTTGGTTCAGCGTAAGCGATGAAGTGCAGTGTCATCTGAACCTGTGTTTGTTTTGCTGGAGAAACTCTCCTCAAGATGCGCATGTAAGTCTCCGGGAGGTCGGGTGGGAGACTGCGCAGGGCTTCTCGACATTGCTCGTCAGAATCGCAGCCTCCAAGGTGATCCAATTGACAGGCAACCCAGCGAAACCTAGCCAAATTCGAGTCAGCCAAATCTCCATGTTATAAATTTCAAGTTTATTCGTGCTTACATTCCATGTGCACCGGCCACAAGGCTTTCTAGAATCTCTGCTTTTAGAGAGTGATCTTCGAATACCAGCTTTCTGCTGCGAATACGTCGTTCAATTTCCGACGTGAGAAACTCAGTGATGTCGTCCGTATGAGCTGCAATCTGTATATTGAGAAACTTCTTCTCGGAATCTCGGAGGTGTCGTTGGATGTTGTCCTCGTCACGACTAAGCAGCGCCATCGATAATTCGTCGGAGTTTTCTGCAATATCGCAAAGCGCCTCCACAACCTCCTCTGCGTGATCTCCGCATTCATCCAGGCCATCAACCACTATGTAGGTATGTTCAAAGACTTGACACATCCTCAAGATGGTTCGTCCTAGGTCTTCTGTGTTGGGAGAGCGAGGGAGTCCCTTGTCTGGATGAAGCTCAAAGTAATACTCTTCGAGCATCGAATACGCTTTCTCGCTCTGTATCGCCAATTGATACGCCAAGCCCCCAAGAATATTGACAGGGCTCTGCGTCGTCTCGTTCTTGTAGTCGCAGAAGAAAAAGCCTACAGCAACGGTATCTGAGCTTCTCGCAAGAGCATGGCCAATAATTGAGCCTGCGAGTACCGTTTTTCCGGCGCCGGGAATGCCGCTCAACCAGAGTCGGGACCCTTGGGTGCGAAGCCATTGCTGGAAAGACGAATGACGTTCAAGCCACATGCCAGTCCTCGGGTGTCGTAGCTTTACACTCATCTCGTAATTTGATTGCGGATTGTATCTCAGGAAGAAGTCTAGGATTCGCCGTCTTCTGGTATCCTCTTGAATCCGTACTGCAATCTCTTTGGTTTTTTAAACATCGGCTAGTATTGCAGTCGCGGTTCGTTCTCTTTCTTCCTCTTTAGCGAGACAACGCAGTAATGCCTCCAATGAAGTAGCTGATAACGCAAGATTCATGTTTTCCTTGTGTCGCGATAGGTCTGCGAGCATTTCCTTGGTCTTCGAAGAAGTGTAAGGCCAAAAGAGTTTCTTGAGTCCTCCTCCTGATTTGTCTTCGTACTTCTTCGTCTTGTTGACAATCTCGGATAGGATCGCTGCACAACCGTCAACGTGGTGCATTCGGAAGCCCTGAATGGGAGACTCGTCCTCCGCCTCCAGGGAGGTTGCCAATCGCGACAACATATTGACAGTGCCCCCAACCAAATTAACTTCTTTGCATAGATCGCTGATCTCTTTCTCGGCATTCTTGACTGACTTGATATACTTGGACAAGCGCAGAAAGACGATGTCCGCAAGAGACAGAAGCCCCGCAATGCTTGCGGCGATGCTCAAGGGGTCGGCCATAGCAGAACAGCCAAATGATTGAAATGGTTGTCCGAAAACTGCTTGTGATCCTCAAGCCGACATTGGGCACGTTGTCGAGGACGGGTTCCGAGCGGACACTCGACGTTCGACGGACGATGGGAATACTAAAAAGATTCTGTTCGGGTTCATTTCTCCTCCCCAGGCACCCATGCAAAGATATCGGGGGGCCTCGGACTTAGAAGTGCCACAAAAAGCGCAACCGCCCTCGTAAAGCTCGACATGTTGAGGCGTCTGGTCCGCCATCATGCAGGCAGGCTGTGTGTTGGTTGCTGTAGGCTGTCACACAGTTTTGATAATCATTGACAGATTTTTCGACTTCCCTACATTAGAAAACAGCCATGAAGTGTTGCTACTACGTGGCTGCATCTTCGTTGCTGCAGGCTGCATCTTCGTTGCGGCAGGCTCTACAACGCAAGGCGGTTTTGGAAGACAACCCATCCAATGAGACATCCAGCGCTGAGTGATCGTAACCCCGCCGCAACCTTAGCACATGCAGTGACGACAGGTTTGGGCGAATCTGCCTCTCGCTGAGGACGCTGGCCACGTATCCGCAGCCCATGATATGAGCGAGGCAGACTTGTCGTGGGAAGCGTTGCAAAAGTGCATATCCGACTAAGAAACCTGGTTGGTTAATAGAGTAAGGCATTCTGAACGTAAGATCCGCGATGTTTGCATATGTTTTCTGTAGTCTCACATAGCGACTGATATCGAGGTCTTCCCTGCCATGAGACGCAGGGAAGTGGCAGCGCAACGTACGGCGTGTTGTTGATTGGCCAAAAGGATGATAAGATACCCGGCCACTGCATGCTCCCTAAATGTTCACGATGTTGATGTACAGCCAGAACGGACTCTCGAGGAGAGAGCTTGGTTGTATGAAGAACATCCACCCGTTATTGTCAGGACTCAACGTGGCAGCAGGGTACCCGAAGCTCAATGGACGTCTCGCCGACTACTGGTCTACTTGAAGATGCCGTAAAGCTTATATTCGGATCTAATAATGGTCATCAAGCGATCAGTACACATAGACTTGGACTCTTCTATTGAAAGCACCTACTTTTCCTTGGAGTGAATGGAACGCCAGATAGTGCCATTTCATCAGTCAGAGTAGGGACGAGGTGTCTTTCTGAGGCCTTTAAATAGAGACGTCATGGCGGAGTCTTACAGCAGTTATGGCTCCTTTCCCGGGGTTGGTGATTTTCTGCAAAAGCGTGGCCGACAGGATCAAGGCCACCGTGAAATGGAGGCGGCACCTGGATAATACATGAGATTCGTTGTCTCAGACGCCATCTTGACAATCTAAACTATTATACTGCCAACTCTCTTTTCCCAACCCTTTTTCTTTACCGAAGTCGCTTCCCATATGCACCCAGGAATCGACCCAAACGCCATGCAAAACCCCACGCTCCATTTCTCAACAAAAATGCTCAAACCATATCATAGCTCTCTGGAAACAGAATCGCATTCGCCATCCCAACCAGCGCCTTCTCCGTCGGACTCCTGCTCTCCTGATCCTCCCAAGGCAGCAAACCCATAGCCCTCAACCCGTCCTCCCCACCCGCGTCGCTAACCTCCTGCGTGCCAGGCCGGCCCGTGTGCGTCGTCTCCCCCTTGCCGCCCCCAAAGTCGGGGCTCGGCTGGCCGAGGAGAAACGCTTTCCGCTGGCGGGCGAGGTACAGCGCGTTGGTCTGCGTCAGGGGGCAGGCCGGGATGTACATGATGGTCGCGGGCGCGGACGACGTCGGCACCCTGTCGACGCCGTATACCATGTCCGGGTGCCACACGACGTAGTCGCCCGGCCGCACGGGCGGGATGCGTACGAGGGATTTGTCTAGCTGGAGATGGGGGTGGAGCGCCGAGTTAAGCTCTTGTGTGTAGGAAGGGACGGCGCCCTGGATGATGCTCGTCTGGGCAAAGTCCAGCGCCCAATTCTCGCGTGCGAGGAAGTTGGGAGACGTTGGCGAGGGGTTGCGCGGTGAGAAGAAGGGGCGTAGGAGGAAGTAGGCAGTGGCGAGCTGGAGCATGGGGCAAAGCAGGAGGGTCCCGTCGGCCGGGTTGATGTCGGACATGGAAAGCCAGCCTTGGAACATGCGGAACATACTACATGAGCCCGCGCCGTTGTAGAGGTCTGAAGTGACTCTGAGCCGCGTACTGCTATCCCAGGGATCGTAGTCCTCCCATTTGCCGTCCCATATGCGCTGGTACGTCCCAGCGTTCCCGTAACCATCACTCTCCCACCGCTCGACACTGCCGCCGTCCACATGAGCATTCAGATGCCAGGCTTCGTCGCCTGGGGTTCGGATTCGTAATCGATCAGCGTATGCCACTGGCAGGTCAGCCACCACAGGAGCACTGGGGTCCCGAGAGCGCCAAAGCCGCATTAGAAATCGTTGAGCGGCCAAGACGTTGGGATGGGCCCGGCCCTTGATCTGTGACGGGGACCAGTAGATGCCGAACAAGTGAGGGTCGCGCGTCGGCCAGCCCTTGGTGTGCGGGTTCTCCGACAGGTAGGTCTCCGTCTCTTCGCGCCAAGCATGAGCCTCGGAGGCCGGTACGACGTTGCGGATGATGGCACCACCTCGGCGCCGGAGCTTGGCGGTGAACTCGGACACGCGGGCATGGTTCTGGAGCTCCGAGAAGTCGATGGTCGGGATGATGTCTGATTTCCTGACGCCAATGACGGCGATCTCGGCTCGAAGAGCTACTAATAAGCGTTCCCATGATTGCACTATGGCGTGCTCCTTGCCGGCGACCAGGCTCCGCTTGATCTGAGCAAATCTCGGTGGCAGCGGGATCGGTCCGCCATTCTCGGTGAAAATTTCGTCGGCGCGCATGAAGCCTCGTGGGTGATTGTCCAGAGCTATGGGAAAAGACTGTGACCAAAGCAGACTGGGGGTATCAAAGGGTGAGAGGAACTGAGAAAGTAGGTCGTCTGAGATGGATGAGAAATCCAGGTCCGGCAGTGGCGACGTGTCATCGCCTTGCCCATATTCATTTTGGAACATGTCGTCCTCCATGTTGCAGCGTGAATAGCTGCAACGTACCGGGTGGTACTTGCAGAAGCTCCGTGTTGTATTTGTTCGTGAAATGGACGAGTTGGAGCATGTTCCTAGAGCGATGGCATCGGGCCCCGCCGCCGACAAGGTTCCGGGGTCAGGATCACGCGGGGCCGGGAAAAGGTCGGGTCGCCGCGGCTCAACGGTGGGGGAAACTCCTAGTCGCTGACAACGCTACAACCGGGCCGCTGTGCCGCCACAAACCTCATTGAACCTCGTTCCTGGATACAAGACCAATGGGAGAGTTGACTGACAAGTGAAAAGTAGCCGCATGGTAAGGGTTCTAGTTCCCATTTTCCAGACCAGTCTCCGACTCTCCATTCAGCCCAGTCCCGGGACACATGATGCAACGTTTACCACACCTTCAGGCTGTGGACGCATGCATCAAGTGCCAACCTCAAGCAGATCCATCGCTGCGGATTGGACCATATCATCCGGGTTGTCGTTCCCAGCTGCCGTGTTTCGAACGGGTCCGATGTTCACCATCCGAACGCTGACCACATTAAGCTTCTTACGCAGCCTTCCCGCGTTTCGATCTTCTGACTGGCATCTTGTCCTCGACTACATCTTCGGGGCTCTTCTTTCTTTTTTCGGGTGCTGCCGCTTTTGTCTGCGGAGCGGCCGTCTTTGCAGCCTTTGAAAGACTGCGTTTGAGCGCCAGCTTGGGATCAACTCCTTCCTGGTGAAAAATGACGTAGGCTACTTTCTCCACGTCTAGGGCAGACACGTTGAGTCTTTTCGTGAGCTTTTCTACTTGGATGTTGAGAGACTCGTACTCCTTCATGTTGTACTTGAGTGATGTCTTTTGGTTATTGTTGCACATCCAGTAGTACCCCTCGTCGGAGAAGAACATGACTTTCTCAGAAAAGTGTACCGCGAGAAGAAGCGAAGCTGTCGCGGGACCGATGCCCTTCAACTTGGTTAGGATACCCAAAGCCGCTGAAAGGTCCGATGTACTTTGATAGCTCGCAATGGCGTCCTGGATAGTCTTCGCAACAGTCGAAGAATCGTTGGATGACACAAATTTCATGAGCGTTGGACGGAATGTCCCATGACGGCTGCAGCAAAAAAAATCAGATCACTCGATTCTTCCAACCATTACAGCAATTGGGGCGCACATGACTCAACAAATGCACACACTTATACGAAAATATAGAAAACGGGGACCTGCAGCGACAGCCCCGTCTGAAGCTCCGCATAGACATGTCGTCGGGGAACGCGCGACCAAAAAGGCTTGCACTTACAGCTTCCATTCCACTAGGAGTTTGACGTCGTCATGGTCCATCACACGCTTCGGCTCATACTCAGAAAACTGTGTCGGGGCCTCAACAAATCGGAAATGATCCAATTCTTTCAGGGTCTTTTGGCCAGGCTTGGCTGTGTAGAGAAGTCAGGAATCTGCTGGCAAGCTCAACGATTCTGCGGGGAAGAGCCGCGATCCAGGGCCGACATACCGCCTTTGGTGGATGAAATGGACTCGATGAGAGGTTCGTATTCCGAGAGCAAATGTTTGAACTCCTTAGCAGATAGCTTGTCCGGTGACATAACTTTGGGAGTCCAGGTCGCCATAATGCGCGACGTTCCTTAACGACGTCTGGGATCGCGAGCAACTGGGTTCTCGGAGCAAAGAGACGCTCAAGGAGTACGGCAAGGGTGTGAGTAGGGTGTAAATGAAGCTCCCAGAACACAAAGATTGACGCGCTGCTGAAAGCAGCAGAGATTTGGATCAGATCGCGAGGATAGTAACTTCTTTCGACGTTAGGTGAGCCAGACACCACACTGAGTGTGGTGCCAAAGTGCTCCGTATAAAAGATGATTAGGTAAGGCCTGGGTACAATCCCACTCGTCTGAGGCTCGTCGTTGAGGTAGGAGGTAGGGTCAGAAAGCCACAGAGGAGCTGAGTGGAAGCTGTAACTCTATTGGGAA